TCTTTTGCCATTGTGATCAATCAAGATAAGTTTTCCCAACCTTGTGTAGTTCTAGTTATGAGGCTGATCTACACACGCTTTCTCTTTACTTCGTGTTCAATGTTACCACCAATTCCCGAGCACTAAACCTCTTTACTTCCCATGTTTAATGTTACACCAATTCCGGAGCCCAAAACGAATTTATTTCTGAAGTTCAAAGTATTAAACATGACCGATACATCCCATGTGCTTCATCTCCCTCTTCTCCTATGGATTTAATCTAGAAAGGTATGATTCAAAATCTATGTCTCTCCATATCCTTTCTTCCATGTCATTACTCCCTCTTAAGGGTTTCGAATTCAATAATCACACTGTAAGTAAACAATTTTATTAGGTTCAGAAGATCTTGACTCTCCATGAGACCTAAGGCTGCACTCATAAACATAAAGAAAGGGTGGATTTAGCAATAATCTCCAAGTTTCTAGCATTCTGGCAAGAAATCCATCACCATATTCATATATTTATATATATTACTAAAATAATTGTTGATATTATATCTATCTTCAACGGCCATTTCCAAGTATCATATCTTCTATATATTAATTAAGGAGACATTAAAGAGAAAATCTAGTATCTTATTATTTATTAACCTCCCTTCGCCTTCATATCTTATTGTATCTCTCTTTGCTATGCAGTTCTAGCAATTAAGTGAAAGATTTGGGGCTCTATAAAATCTCAACTTTGGACATACTATATCATCTATGAACATCAAGATGGGCACTATACCACGTCAGTTTAGTACCTCTTTCCCTATCCCGTGTAACAATTTAGCATCATTTTGGAACTTTACGATTTGTATGGCTTATTCATATTGAGCAAGAACTTTTAACTTTGGTCACTAAATGACGAAACAGTTGCGTCGTAGAATGTTACACGACCAAATGTTTGGTTTCTACCTGATATTATAATATTACCAAATGTAGCTAAAGGTGTGACCGAGTTTTAATGTTACCAAAGTTTTCAACATTAGATATTGCATTCCAAAGATGTTTTTTTTGTTGGATTTGTTTTAAATGTTTTTGTCGGATCGTTGAGGTGAAATTAGAATAGAATTTAGATCAAGGTGTGACCGAGGATATTGTGCTTTGTGCATATACAACGTCTATGAGTTGAAAATTTCAGACTGAACATTTGGAAGAGCTTAGTCTTCTTCGCAGAAGAAGAGCAAAAGCATAAGCATAAGCTACTTTCCAGGTGAAGCAACACGAGTTATAAGTGTGAACATCAATTATTACATGTAACTAGATTTTTTTACATGCGTCAAACACGGGATTAGAATATTCAAAAAAAACAAAATTCATGATTTTTTATAATATATGGAAAGATTAAAAATAATAAAAATCAAATAGTATATATTTCATATAGATAAAAATATTTTATCTAACAAAAATTCATTTGCATGACACTTAAATTGAATGTAGGTATTTTTGATGTAAATTGTATGTGTTTGAAATTATCGATTCTCCCAAACTTATTTAAGTTCTCCAAAATCAAAAAACATATCGCGTTAGTATGTAATACTATATTCT